GTCGTCATGCATTGTGAATCGTTGCTATGTAATGGTACCCGGAGAGCGTGATTTATGCACGTGGTAGGTTTACAGTACTTCTCAACAAATGTTTATAAACTAATCAAATTTTATTATTTAACATGAAAGTATAACAATAAAAAATCTTAAGAACACACGGTAAGTAATATTTGAGATGGAAGTTTGAAAAAAATACTGAGAAATAAATCGAGAAACAGTGCACATTTTTTGTGCGCAATAAATATTTGATTTGATATTTGATTTAATGATTTTGGGAAACATTGTAATTTCAATTTTTCGAGAAGTTTTTTTTGTTGAGTTTTTGAGAATTTACTTTTTATGCCCCCTTCGAAGAAGGGAGGGATATTGCTTTGCTGCTATCTGTCGGTCGGTCTGTCTGTCTGTCCGTCCACCAACAGCTTCTGTTCATTTTCTTCGCAGATGCTACTGAAATGAAATTTGGTATACAGATTTATCATAAGAATATATAGGTCAATTTCTGTTTTGGGTACAATCGACCAATTTTTGACAGAGGTATACCCCTTGGACTTAGAAAAATTCCAATTATTTGCAGTTTTCATGCATTATCTCTGCAAAGGTTGAACAAATTAATTACTGCTATATCATGAGAAACATGTTTTGGCCGAAGATGTGATGTTGAAGACTATTTCTGGTTGATGCATCTCAGATACATGTAGTAACGGTAGATGACCCCTATTGATTTTAAGTTGAAAAGGTCAATTGCATTTCCAAGTACACTGCCCATAATGTATACTGATCATAATAAGGGCTTGTGCACCCTATAATGTATGTCCAAGCGGGGGCATGTGTTTCACAAACATCTCTTATTAAAAGACAAATTATGCGATTTAATTTTTTGATAGTAACATTTAATGAAATTATAGAAATGTTAAAATACCATCGTTTGCACTTGAAAATTACAAAAATATTAAAGATCGTTGTCAATGACTAGCAATATGAAAATCCCAATTTACTGCAATTATCCATTTTAATAACAAAAGTAGACTTTTGAAAAATTGTAACAAATATACACAATTGAAGTCTATATAAAAATTCAGATTGCGGATTCAGTAATTCGATAAAGAAACATTAAATTTCATAGTAGGTCGAACATGCATGCCTGCGGGTGAATTATGGGTATCTGATGCAAAGAAACTGGGGGGATAAGCCGAGCCATATGCCTACATAACGATCGATAAAAAATCAATAAATTCATTTTACAAAAATTTCACTTTTTGTTGAATTAATGTAATGCTTATTACCATTTGCATACAAAGACAAAACATGAATACTGTAACAGCGAAAATGATTCTGATTAACACAACAAAATGGCATCACGCTCAATTTTCACAGAAACTGACATAAATTGGATGATATAACTACCTTTTTTAAATAGAGTGGGTCATCGTACCATTTTTTGAGAACGATTAATGAAAGGCAATGGAATGATGTTGCTTTTTACACTTGCAAAAATTTGGTATGAAGACCCACTCTACATAAAAAATTAAGTTAACTTACTTAAATTTTCACCGTGGTCTTAAAAAATTCTAAGTTCAAAAACGCTTCCTAAATATAGAGAACTGTATGCTATTTAAAGAGACATGTTAGTGTGACTCCGTGGTCTAGTGGTTAGCGAGGAGCTCTTTAAATGGACGTTTATTGAGGAAAGTGTTCGAGTCATGCTCTGATTTTTTTGATTTTTTTTTCACTTTATTAAAAAAAATGTCTATAGGAATAACATATTTTTCACTGGAAATAAAATATATACATGTAGTAATGAACTTATTTACAGTAAATTATTTAAAATGCCGGATAAAAATTATAATAGATATTTGAATACTTTTATTCCCGTTTTTATTTATTTTAAATAAAAGCGCTTCTAGATCACCATTATCATTATATACGATGGTAACATTTTTATAATATCTCCACAATAAGAGTAAACACTCAATATGCAGATTAATTATTAAATAGAGAGTCCTTACCCATGTAAGACATATGTGACAGTAAATGAAAGTCAACTGTTTAGCTTGTTTATAATGTAAATATCATTTTGAAAACTACGGTAAACATTAAAATGCTTAAGTAAATTCGAACAATTGAGAGATTTTTTCCAATAAATGTTCTTGCATAGCCGAAAAATGGGCATGGGCACACGGCTCGTCTTATTCCCCCAGATTCTTTTTATTCACACAGACATTTGATATCTAACCAATTCAGGGTCATTGCCGAACATTCTCATTAAAAAAGTTCATTAAGTATTTTTTAGTCATCAATACCAAATACACATTATATCGAATTTATGTTCATTTCGTGTAACTTCTGTTACAGAAACTCCACTTATTGTTTGGATTAAAGGATCAAAATTTTTAAGGAATAAATGATTGAAACATTTTAATACAGGGTATCTTTTGACAAGGGAAAGAATAAGGCGGAGAACTATATTTCCTTAAAATTATCAATATCATCGATTCAGTCTAAAAGTACTTTAATAACATATGAAAATTGCACTTTATTTTACAGTGTAGGTAACCAGGTTCTTTACACAGCATGTCTGTAATAGATTTTGGGGTACAACTCTTTAGCAAACAAACTTAATTAAATTTTACTCCCCTTAATAAATTAGTACATAATTTTAACAAGTTCCTAACGGTCCAATTGTTGTGTTTACGAAAGAATATTCTTGAATTTAACCGGGTAAATTTTCTCAGGTAAGTAATTCGTTGTACGTTGTTAAAAAGCATAATTTAATATATTAAATAATATATCGAGGTGGTTAGCTCTACCTCAACATTTTAATATATATATATATATATATATATATATATATATATATATATATATATATATATATATATATATATATATATATATATATATATATATACAGCCCTACGTGTAATTTGCGATCTTCCTAGAATCCAAACAAACTGTGCAAGGTCCAGTCAATGTTCTTCCAAGCCTCTCTTTATTCCTCACAAGAATATGACATGAAATTGATGTGAAGAAGAAACTTCAGACTGACTGTACTACAACATATTCAAGAAATGATGTAAATCAAATGTGGATGTTTAAAAAAAAGATCAAACGAAACTTGAGAAAAGTTGATTTTCCCCAAAAATCAACAGCATCAAAACACATGACTTTTTAACGCTTTATACAACCATTCCTCGTGATATCTGAAAACCCAGGCTTTTTGACGTCAAAGACAACTGCTTCATCAATAAAAATGGAACTCGGGGATATTCATATCTTGTGATTAGTCCCCTACAAAATTTCTTTGTGAAAACTATTCTGACTTTACAAATAGGTATTCTAAAGTTGATAATAAAATGATGCTAGGGTTCCTCCTTGACGTATGTTGTGTTTGGAGACAAGGTCTTCCAACAATCTGTTACAAAGCCGACGTATTGTTGTATTCGTATGCAGAATTCATGATTTACTTTTACATGAGAAGATATGACATTCAAAATTTAGGTATATGTCGACAGCGTTTCAACATTTTTACAATATTCATCCATATTTCATAGATATATTGACTCGATTTATCCCAGTGAACCTAAAATGAAAGACTTTTCAGAGTCTGTCACATCTATTTTATATATTGAATATAGACGTTTTTGGCAAACTGAAGACTGAACTTTTTAAGAAATTGAATGAAATCACAGATTAATTTATCCCAATGAACTAAAAAATAAAAGACATTACGGCGTGTGCCCATGCATCTACTGGTATTTTATATTTTGAATTTACTGAATATCGATGTTTTTTTTGCAAACCAATGACTGGACTTAAAATTTAAAGAAATTGGATGAGATCTAATCTTTCCCATCGTCAACTACCCATTTGAACACCTTACCTGCTTTAGTGACTATGTCTCGATTGACATATTATGCAACAAGATTTTATGTGTACAATCCGTTTTTATAACAAGGCAGACTACTGACTTACATTTATAAGTTAAGGGGTTCAAACAATCTCATTTAAAGTTAGAATATAGCAAATTGAAAAAAATGGATCACATTTTGACTGACATATTTCATATCAATTGCTAAATAAATGTTTTTATTACCTATTTTGACTCATTTACCTGCTAAATACCGAGGTCTTACGGCGAATGTGACCAGTCGACACTAGATGTTAATTCCACATAAGAACCTGATCCAACCAATGGTGGTTCCAGGGGTCACTTTTTTGGACTTTTTTCCTGGTCCCGATTTTGAATTGTTTATATATATTGTATTATGACATTGATCATTGCTCATTATTTTCAACTATTTTATTTTCATAAATAAACTTTGTTATTTCAGTACGGTTAAAAACATTTTGTCGATACAAAAGCATGATCGTCAATTTTCGGTAGAGTGTTACATCTGGTCATCAAGTAGAGACAAATTTTAGCCAGTAAATTCAATTAAAAAAGAAGTATGTGTTGTTTTAAAAATAAATTTATTCACTTTTTTATTTCAAGCATCTAAAAAAACAACATTTTTTTAAGCAGTAAACTAAAAAATACATATGCTGGGATTTTGCAGGTCCATGAAAGCAAACTAAAACATGACAGAGCAATTAATTTACAGAATAAGCTTTTATACCAAGCATCTAAAAAAATCAACTTTTTCAGTGTATCATAAAAAATGATGGGATTTTGCAGTGCTATAAAAGCAATTTAAAACATGCAACAGAATATAACTTACATTATTATCCCTAATTAAGAATTTCATTCTGGCAATGTACATGTACAGCTTAATGTATAGAAGTGCCAGCAATGAGAAAACAAAACATCTCTTTCTTTCTCTGTGTGTGTGTGGTACACCATACATAATATAGTTTCCATTATCGGAAGGCATTTTTAACTAATTGTTACAAACAGCGTCATAGATATTCGTGTATATCAGGCATCTTTGGTAGCTGAATTGCTTATAAAGTTTCGGCAGTGCCAAAAACTGAACACTTTTGATAATATTTTTAAGGATCAAATGATACGCCTGTACTGTCTTCAAATATAGCTTAGAATATTAGAAATTATTTCTACTCAATATCATGAATGAATTGAATTCCCAGAAACTTCTTCTGCTAAGGTATAATGAACATGGGACTTCTGATTTCAACTTCTTTCATTTAAAATTAAAATGTCATATTCACAAAACATCACTTTTACACAATATTATCCGGTTTGTTATTGGATGTGTTCACAATGACGTGTGACGTCACTAATAATGACAAAATCATTACATTGATTTAAATTAGATATTACATCTAAATGAAAAACTATTGAACGGTTTCAAACCATGAATAATCCTATGATTACAACAAAAAGTAAAATTCAGTTGTATCGAATATGAAGTTTTTCTAAAATTAAAAGTTTGTGGTGAAATATTTAATGTGTCCCTGAACTCTCAATAGAATTCTCCAGGGAATGTGACTCCGAAGACAAGGAAGCTCTGTCGCTTGTTCTAAGTAATCCTTCCAGCATGTTTGTCGTCTGGGTAAGGGGCGACAAAACAGGCGACGAGTAGTCTTCCTCTGACTGATCAGTTGAAAAAATAGAAGATACAGGGGGATATGACTGTGTCTCGGTTTGAAATAAGGACATATTATCTGAGCCATATAAATCTAGCAAAAGATTGTATTGGTCAGAATTTAATTCGGACGTGGATGAAAGATAATGCTTAGAAAAACCTTCTTGTTCATTTGATAATGTTTCTGTTTGAATGGGAATCATAAAATGCATTTCATTTTGTTCCAGGTCTTCAGTGAATTCAAAAGCCTGGTTTTGAGGATTGCAATTCTCTCGATTTACAAGATTCTCTTCATACCTTAGGTTAGAGTGAGTTCTTGGGGATTTCATTCCCAACGTCAGTACTCTGCTAGACGGTTCAGTGGAGGCTTTGCTTTTATTGCTATTAACTGACAATTTTTTTCTGACAAAATTTTTTGAAATGTTTTTAGAAGGAGGCGCTGTCTTTTTACCATCGCTTTGACTTTCCAATACCGTGAATCGATCAATTGATAAACGTGTTAATTTTTCTTGGGTCTTGTGCGGCTGTTGCAAGGCATTTTTCATTATATCTTCCACCATCGCATCAAATTCGGGATTATTTCTTTTGGATCTTTTCTTTGAGTTCTCTTGAAAATCTTTCTCCTCGTTTAATTCAAAAAGTTTCATCCCCAATTCTAGTTGCTGGAATAGATAGGCAAGATAAGTTTTATACAAAATTGAAGCATCCTGAAAAAAATATAAATTTGTCATACAAAACCAGTTTTTGTTTTTGCCTATAATCTATATTATTCTTAAATGTACACAAGTATCATAACTGTAATATATTGTATGACCCCATTTTTTGTGGAGTATTCCAGTTGTCAAAACTTTGCAGTAGAACTCGGTATCTCGAGCATCGATATCTGAATACCATATATGAATATTTTCAAGTGAGGTGGAAGACCCAATATCTTTTTATGCGTTTTATCCTCAGTATGCTCGGATACCCTGTTTTTTTTTTTCTCGGCCACATTGAGTTTGATTGATTGATTGTTGTTTTACGAGCCTATCGAAAATTTTTCACTCATTTGAGATTCGGCATTTAGCAGGGAAGGGCTTAACATCTAGACCTTAACTCGGCCATCAGGGCCCATGAGCAGTGGGGCCCGCAGGGGTTCTTTACCGTGCTCGGTTTTTAGGGTATCCCTAACAAAGATTTACTATTATAATAGTTGAATATAATATACTATAGTGAACTATAGTTTACTACAGTAAATACTTTGATGCTTTGATTTACTATGGAACTTACTCAAGAACTTTTTTCGAGAGTCAGAGGGTTTATTTTTTTTAAATTCCTTTCCCTTAATATAAATTTTTGAAATAAGTTTTGAATATACAAGTAATATTTTCATTTAGTATAAATAATTCTTGTTTATTTTGGAGAAAAATATAACAATCTTATATTGAATTCACAGAAAAATATTTTGATTTACTACAGTATAGAAAATTATATTTTACTATGGTATTTTTGTTAGGGATCATCCGAAAGACCCTTGATATTCACTTCTATTGACGGGCACTTGATGAAGACACAGTCACTACCTATGTTTACGTCGTAGGTTTGACGCGGAGTCAACGAGAATCGAACCCAGTACCTCCAGATCAAAAAGCGAGCTAGGCTACCGTGACAGGTCATAGATTTTGAAATAATGAAGATTGATTGAAATTTAACGGGGGTTTTTTTTTTTTACCCCAAAGTACATAATGAGTTCTAGTGTGTAATTGTAAAATCATGATGCACAGATCATTTGCAAGTTTCGGTCCTGAATTCTAACAGAATTCAGAAGTGCACATCTGAATAATTTTATGAGCTGAACTTTAGAATGTGATTGTAATTTAGAAATTAGAAATGTAAGAAATATTTTTAAAATGTTGAATTGATAGTAAGTTACTTACAAAGAGTTTTAACATCATTTTGTTGTACTTTGTCTCCATTGCCCTATGTTTGGATTCAAATAAAATAAGCTTAGATGTGTCTTTTTTCAATTCCCTTATATAATCAACTGATGCTTTCAGAATTGATCCTTTATGCAATTTCATTGCTCTGAAAATTAAAAAAAAATTATTTAAAGAAAAGAATTTCCTGGGGTTGTGTTTTCGTTATAGATAGTATTGAAGAAAATCTGAAAATCATTTTATATTATATATGAATCTGTGATCTTGACCTTTGACCTAGTGATCTAGAGAGTTAAAATTTGAAATGTCATTGTAAACAAACTTGTACAGATATGAACCATAAACTAAAGTAAACAATTTCTTAACATATATTTATTGTAACTTTGACTTTTTACCTTTTGATTTCAAAATCAGTAGGGATTTTTCTTAAGTCATAGGGAGTCATGGTATGAAATTTCATTCGAAAATTTGAATTACTTTAAATTTCAGAGATATCGTATCAAATGTGTTACAGACAGACAGACTAGTAATGACCGACAGATAGATTGACGGACGTTGATACAGTATACCTATCTCCTAAGAGATGAATTTGGAGAATCTGTAATCTGTAGACGGATGTTGATACAGTATACCTCTCCAGTAAGAGATGAATTTGGAGAGATTAATCTGTATACTAGAGTATAATTATATATATATATATCTTTATTTCGGATGTATTTTACATTTGCCACTAAAATAAGAAATTAACCATTTATTAGTACTCTCTTCCTTCCAGATTAACCTCAAGTAGGACGTTTATACAGAATATAGAATTTTCTTTTAAAGAAGGACAACACGTTCTACAGAAAGAATACATGCAGAAAATTTTTAAAGTATGAACATAGTTGTATGTAAGTTTTTTTCTTAACTATTTTAATGAAGATATATCTTTTCCTTGACATTCATTCATGCAAAAGAGAAATGCCTCTGAGAAGAGAGTTTTCTTTTAAAATGAATTTGAAAGATGGACGACTCAATTCGTTTAATAAATGTTAGATGTTGTAGTTGTAAAGGGTATAGTAACAACTCAGCCACAAATGTCTGATATACCTCATAACTTTGTTAAAATGTACTGAACAAGTTTGAAAATACTCACGGATGAACTGTTGGCGGTAAAAGTGCAGCTAATTCTTGAATTCTATCATTTATTTTGTATCTCCGCCTTCGTTCGACTAGTGAGAGGAATTACAATGTGGCCATTAAGTATATAAAATTATGTGGGACGAGCAAATGCAATTGTTATGTTTCAAATAATTAATTAACAAATTCACACAAATATGTTTATTTCGGAAAGAGAAGAAAGTAACCTGATATATATATATATATATATATATATATATATATATATATATATATATATATATATATATATATATATATATATATATATATATATATATATATATATTAGGGATAGCAATCTGTAACCGGTTAATCGATTAATCGGTCGGAACGATGGTATCGGTTATTCGGAAAAAAATAAAATATATTTTTTGATCACTATTTTCTTATAATGCATTTCTACAAAGGAATCTTCGGCATGAGTTGAGCAGTTACGGGTTTTTTGTTGTTTTTTTTTACACATCTTATAATTGATCTTATTTGGAGGTAATTATTGCTGTCTGGATTGAGGTCGCGGGGTAATGGGTCAGTTTGTGAAGAGTTATTACTGATTTTAAAAAAAAATCAAATCGTTTAACCCAACTGTCCCGTAATCCTCCAATGATATTTAGTAAAACAACTCAGAACTAATAAGTATGTCTTTTGCAGATAATTATATTGTATTGTTAGAAAATCATTGTTAAGTGAAAGTTCAGGTATAGTTTGATTATGGTGAAAATCCTGAATGATCGAACTTGTGTCTGCACTGGAAAATTATCCGCGTCTGTTTTCTCAGGCAAGAAAATGGTTTTCTTTATTATTTTTTTGTCTATTGAAATTGAAATGAAATATGTGTACATTTTTAGTTTCCTGATCAAAGATAATAAACAAAATATTCCTAACTTCTGGCTTTTTTTGTTTAGTCTACTTCTGTATATAAATAGAACTACTTGGAAACAAAGTCAAAAAATGTGTATTATGATACGATCAACCGATTAGTCGGTCGGAACGTCTTGCGGTTAACCGATTAGCAATTCTGTAATCGATTGCCATACCTAATATATATATATATATATATATATATATATATATATATATATATATATATATATATATGTATATATATATATATATATATATATATATATATATATATATATATATATATATATATATAATTTAAAGTCAATTGCTGATGTATTTTTTTCATTATCATATATTCTTGCTGATGTATTTTTTTAATATTATATATTCATACTAGAAACCTTGTTTTGTTTTGTTTGATTGTTTTCGAATATTTAAAATAGTCATTGCACTTTGAATATTTTCATTATTTAAATGCTATTTATGCTGGTAAAAATACAATTTTAGGTAATAACTTTCCACTGACTGCCTGGTTTGCACAAGTTTATATAATGTATAGCTTACTTATGTTATGGTTATCTTTTCTAATTCTCTCTTTCCTCCAAAATTTTTCCTCTCTCTTTGACAGAAATGTTATGGTATGGAGATTGTCTTTCAAAAGCGATTTGTCCGTAGCTTCAAGAGAACATTTTTGATTGGCTTTGCTCTGAAATGCAAAAAGATTTAATTATTTCCATATTCGAAACATCTTTAAACTTATAAGGAATTTTTTCTTCATTTTTTACTTTTAGAAGTACATGAGAAATAAAAGGATTTCTAGGATAGCCGTAAAAAATTATGATACGTCTGTGAACTGAAAAAAGGTTCCGATCTCATATACTGAAACGTACATCGAAAAATGTTAAAGTTTTCTTTAGATCCCTACAAAACATAGATATTGTGGTTACTGTATGACCTACTATTGTACATGCCACGGCTTGTTCAATACAATGGAGATCTTCATCATATGACGAATCAGTCTGGACTGAATTCATAACATCACCGATTAGGTGGTCCACCTGAAAATAACAAGTAATAAAGTAAACGAGATCTTATGTACAGAGTCAGCCTGCATCAACACTCGACGCTCTGATTCTTTTGAATATTAATGCAACATAAACTGCTGCGCAACTATTTGTCGTGAATATTAAATTATATAAAACATATGTTTCCAGATTTAACAATTATGAAAACGACAAAAAAGTTAATAAAACTTTGCTTTATATCTCAGAATTAATTTTAAAAAATCACTTATTCATAGAACATAATATATCGTACCAACAGCTTGTAAATCATTTTAAAATCATTGATAAAAGTCTGATGTCCTAAACATTCAATACAATATAGCAACAGCATCATATTAAAAACTGACAAAATCATAAGATTTATTTTTAATTCATGACGTCAGTAAAAGAAATGCATGTATTTCAATTTTCATGCACAGCGTGTTAATTTGTTAATATTCATGCAGGGCATATTTCAAAACCTGATTTACCTGATCAAGACTATATTCTTCTTCGTCGTCCACATTTGTATTAGTTTGATGTAGCTTCTGAGATGTTGATTCCTGAGGGGTGTCCTCCAAGTTTTCTATCATTGTTGTAATCACGGATTCCAAATGCTCACATAAGTCAATATGGGGCTCACATGCTTCCTCTAAAAATGTCTGGAAATTCAATTGATCTAACTTGCTCTTATTTTTCAAAGCCCCAAGGGATGTTTCCTCTTCTGTTGTTTGCTACAAAGTTAATCAAATATACTTGATCAATTATTGGTAATTCTAAGTAATCTTATGTGCATATCTGCTCATAATGGAGTATTTAGAAATATTAATGACTTAGTATTTTGTCCACTTGTGTCCTTTTGCTGGATAAACTTCAAAAATGTCCTATCAACTTTTCACAATTCAGTATTGAAGTTATCAAGCAACCTGAGTAAAACAGAGTCTAATTCGGCAAGTAATTCACAGTATTGTACGTCACCTGTTATTTTGTCCAAACTCGTTAGGTAACAGTTTGATAGTCCCCCCATGGATATAACTACACTTTTCCTTTCAGCTCTACTCTCTTGTCTATTTGTCCCTCTATTTTTCAGTCAGAATGTCTTGATTTTTCTGACTTTTTCTAGACACTCGCATATATTCAGCTGATTTTTGATATGTGAGTCTATCTTGAACTATGTTCCGCTTAGATAATTTTTAAGGAAAATCCAGCCCATACTGGGACACAGTACAGTTAATACAATACTTTCAGAATGTTTGTCAAGACTTTAACCTTATGCCTTATATATTTTCTTTAAGGTCAAGATCTAGCAAATGTAAGGTGCCTAAAGATTTCTCAAATGAGAGGTGAGTTCCTTTAATGATGCTGTATAACTATACCATAGTAAAATAAAGTTTATCGGGGCTTTATTTTTAGGTAAACTCTGTGAAAATATTCTTCTCAAAGAATCATCGGCCACAATAGGTGATCAAAGTTTCACAAAGAAATATATTTTTTTTCAAATAAAAACTTTTCTTGTAAAAAACAACAAAGGTATGATATGTCATATATATATATATATATATATATATATATATATATATATATATATATATATATATATATATATATATATATGCAAGCATTCTCAGATTCGAGTTTGTTCAAATCATGACCTGCAGGGTTAGGATGGGGCCACAATTGGCAATCAAAGTTTTACATAGGAATAAATAGGGAAAAAATGTTTAAAAACTTCTTGTCAAAGAAGAACAACGACATGATTAGTCATATTGACATGCAAGACTCCTCGGGTTGTGTAAATTTGTGATTGTTCAAACCATGGCCCACAGCTAGAGGTAGGATGTGGCAACAATAAGAGATAAAAAAAAATTTTAGGAAAAAATCTTTAAAAATCTTTTTCTCATCAACTGAAAAGACATGATCAGTTATTTTATTATGGAAGCACCCTTAGATAATGTAGATTCAATTTTATTTTTAGATAATGTAGATTCAAGTTTTTTGTTCAAATTATAGCTTCTGAGGTAGTGTGCGGCCACTGTAGGTGATTAAAGTTTTGCATAGGAATATATAGGGAACAAATCTGCGGAGGAGGAGAAGAGCCATAGTTACTCAATTGAGAGATGTTTACCATGGGCATCTTGTTTATTTATCTGAGCAGGTAACGAACTCTTCTTTGAAATAATTTACTACAATTGTATAATGATTCATCATTTTATTTATTCAGTAGCCCTTTTCACAAAAAATCTTAAGTTTTGGTATAAGATTTTAACTTAAGAATCTCTTACGACAAATCTTAAGTGCTTTTCACGAACACATTCGTAGCAGATTGAACTTAAGATTTTACTTACGACAGAATTCATCCATAGCAAAGACTTCAATATGCTTTATAATCCCTAAATAAGTGGGTGAAAATAAAATTAAAACTTAGTTTTCAACATTTGTCAGCATAACAAACATTATTGACTACAAATATCGAATGCAATCGTTTGTGAAGCAAGGAAGTTTAAAATCTGACGTCACAATCACGTCTGACGTAAAAGCAGGTCATACGAACATCTTAACGTAGGTCGCGGGGTTGCTGACCTTTTAAAATTGCTCAAAAACATACCATGAAAATTACATATATGAATCTCCTACTTTTGTTGTACATTCTCTGAAAATTTAAAAAAAATTCGTCTGCATCGTTCTTGCGTTATTAAATCCCAAACATGCCATCGTTGTCGTAACATTTTCGACGCTGTTCTATTGAATTCTATAGGAAAAACGTCATTTCTGACTCGTTTTCAGGAAAGATTTATTTAAAAAAAATCTCAGTAACTTTTAAATGGTGCAGACAAAATTGTTTCCCTTTTGGTCGTTTCACACAGAGATAATTTCAGATAAATCAATGTAAAAAAATTAATATGTCTTCGAGTTAGTTTTCTCGTAATTTAAATGCGAATAATTGCTTTGATATAGCAAAATGTAACATTTTTAAGAATGACGCTATAAACTATCATGACGTCACACTTAACGTCGTGAATACGGTCCGGTATAAAGTGCAGAAAAACAAAGAGAAGAAAGAAATTTATGTTTATATCTATTTAATGTAAATTTATTTTTAAAATAAGCACAGATGTATGAGTTATGTAACAGCGAGAGAGAGAAGGCTGAAGGGGGGGGGCTTGCAGGTGCAGTACTCATAGAGTGATTCAGACCTTTTTCTTACAAGAATAGGGGAGCCAATATTAATTAAAGAATAAAATTAGAAATAAAAGCTCAAAATTTTCTGACAAGAAAATGGGTAATCGCCAAAACGTTAGAGAAGAGAAATGTTGAGTGGTTAGGTACAACTATTATTCAGGAGCAAATGTGGTAGGGGATGAGTATAGTAAATAATCTTGTCTCAACAAATATATATCCATTCTCTGTCGAGTTGAAATGATACATGTTATATGTCCGATTCGAACACTAATTTTCGTTTCATTTTGCTTGATATAAATCCTAAATAAGTAATCTTCACGAGCAACAGCTGAAGTGCTAACAAATAGACTTTTTCTTAATTCAATACTGATCAACTAAGTTTGGACCTCCAACTCACTTGTATTCTAGATGTAATTTGCTTCCGATGCCTGTGATACGTATATCAAGTGCTTTCAAATGACACGTATACGGATTTTTCACATTAGTAATGCTTATACGAGTACACACACCGCATACAACTGCCCTTTTAACAGGATTTCGCTGTGGTATCACCACATATCGTCATGCAGCGTTTTTCCAAATAAAATTCCATTCTGTTGGTAAATTTAAAAAAAAGCTACCAAGAACTACTCGTGTTTTGTATGAAAAGATCGCAAATTTTCACCGAACTTTGACATATTTTGAGCGTCCGATTTTTAATTCTCGACATCGATCCATATTGTCAAAGTATTTGCAAAACATGGTGTTATAATATTTTAAAGAATTTAGTCTTTGATGAGCTTTCTTTTTTTTTAAAGATACCAAGAATACAGGAACATAGGATGCAATTTTAGTTCGGGGGGGGGGGGGGGGGGGGCTAACGGATACAAACAAGTTTAGGCCCGTAGCAACGGTTTCAAAAAGGTGGGGGACCTAAAAAAAAACCCTAATAAGCTGTCCAAATCCTGGATTTGCCAGGCTCGACCTAACAGCAACAAAAAGTGTGTGGGGGTGGGGTAGGAGTGGGAGCAACCAGCATGCATCTAAAGGAAAAATTACTGTAGCAAAATACTATACTCAGAAAAAAGTGCCCCCCCCCCCCGCGTTCTACGGGCCTGAAGCAGACATTCTTGAGGGGGCACAACCGATTAGCTGTTTTCTAATATGTATAATATTTTCATGTAATGGCAATATTATCGAGGGGGACAATAACTGTAAATTAGAGCTCGATTTTCCAAAGTAATTTATATACATTGAAAAAATTATGGGGGCACGTCCCTTCTCAGATTCCTACCGAATTAATATCAATTTTTCTTTAGCACGAATTCCTCATAAGTCTGCCAGCGACCTTTTTTAATCAGGGGAAATAACACACAAGTACCTCTAGCTCCGAGACGTTGTAATTTTGGAGCTTTAATTTCTTCGTCGCAATACTTTTACTTTATTCAAATCTTTCTATGATAAAAGATGTATCTAAATCGAGTTAAACATCATTGCCTTAATCTCTATACATATCTGTATTTCTATGGTGCATTTACACTTGCATTCCTCGTCGTTTTTTTTTTTAGATTCTTCACTCGGTTTTTTCGCATACAAATAGGGGATACCTCCCAAACTTTTACCTTGATTTTATAATTAAATACTTCTGAAAAGAATTTTTAAAAGGCCATAAAAAGCCATCGGACCACAGGTGCTTGAGGACAGCCCCCCCCCCCCCTTTATAGAACTCGGGCCTGTTCGACTTTTTTCCTCATAAATTATATATGAATGAGATATTTGTGATATAATCTATATCATCAATTCGGAAAAATTGGCTTAAACAAACATTTTATAAAAATTACTACCCTACTCTATGTATATAAATATATAGAGAGTGGGGTAGATTTTGTAAAATGTTTGTTTTAGGTAATTTTTCCAATTGTTGGTATAGAAAAGTCGAAAAGGTCCGGGGATCTATATATCGGGGGGGGGGGGGGTGTCCTCAAGCACCTGTGCATCGGACGAAACAGTTTGAGAGAGAGGTAAATGGAAATGAAAATCTAAAAATTAATTCTATCTTGCCTTATCAACAGGCTACAATTAACTACCCAGATTTTTTTTTGTTCTGTTTAGCGACTTTTCAATTTATAGGGCAACTTGCTCGACCGGGAAAGCAAATTAGATAAATTCTGAAGCTGTTACTTATAGAAGGTCTGTGTCGTTTTTATGCTTTATGTTTCATATCTGAGCAGTTTTTCAATTGTGATATATATATACATGTATTTTTAAAATCTTTTTAAAAATAAAGTTTAAACTTTTGATATAACAGCTGTAATTGCGGTTGTTTATATAAAGACGGTTTATCAGTGTAACAAACTTGTAATTAAAATACGTCAAAGGAAAGAAAAATAATCATGCAGTTGACACTTGATTAGTTGTTCCATATCTTTTCGTGATACTGTTCTGGTCTCAAAGTGATGATAAATAAACGCTTTCGATGTTCGAACATTAAAAAAATCGTTATTTTTTTTTTCTGTGATAACTTCTGTTTCTTGTATTGAAGTTAAAAAATGTTTTACTCACTTTGACGTCATAATCAAATGTGCACAAGAAAGTCGACCAAATCATATAAATTGCATACTCAGTTTTAACGACGTCAGCAAACCCGCGACCTACGTTAAGTGAAACTTACGTCGTAAATATTTTGTGTATTTGATTTAATTTTTCGACAATGATTGTGAAAAAAATATAAAACATTATTGGAAGTTGCTTTAAAAAGTTCAATGAAAAGTGTATTTTGGTTTTAGCAGTTATATTTTTACAATAAAATCGGTTTTAAAATACTTAAGAGAGGGTTGGGGCTCTCGTAAAGTTACGACAGATTTTGCACGTACGATTTTCTTAAGAATTTTTGTGAAAACGATTTTTTTAGCATAAGTTTTCACTTAAGATAAAATATGTCGTAAGTTTTTTTGTGTGAAAAGGTCCACAGATTTCTATATATATTCATGATCTAAGCCTTTGTATTTTGCTGAGTATTAAAAGAATACACTATAAAAGTAAGGCAAGAAAACCCTAGAAGCAAATGCTGACTGAAGTAAATGACAAAACAAAATTCCAAATCATCCTAAGAAACATTTGCACTTTTACATATAAAATAAATTATTACTATTATGTTTAAAGCAATTAAACAAAGTCATAAACACCATTTCAGAAAGTGTCAAAACTCTTGTTCATCAAAACTGATAATAAAAGGTCCATGGATCACATCGCCCACGGGAGCGCTTTTGTCTGGAGAAAATATTTAAAGCAGAAATCAGTTCAGTATTGAAAAGTTTGTATTGAAAAACATATGTGGTCCCACCCTACCCCCTGGGGTCGATGATTTGAACAAGCTTGAATCTACACTACGCTAGGATGCTTCCATATTAATATGGTTAATTATGTCTTGTTGTTCTTCAAAAGAAGATTTTTGAAGATATTTCCTATATATCCCTATGAAATGCTTTACTCCCCTGTTGTGGCCGCACCTCATCCCCGGCGGTCATGATTTGTATGAACTTGAAAATACACTATCTCAGGATGCTTCTGTACAAACATGACTAACTGATCACCGCTTTTCTGTTCTCAAGGTGAAGATCTTTAAAGATATTTCCTATATATTCATTTGTAAAACAATTGATCCCCTGTTGTGGCACCACCTTACCCTCGGAGTCATGACTTGAACAAAGCTGATATACACTACCTGAGGATGCTTCTGTATTAATCTTACTGATAAGGGCTTTGCTATAATTGTTCTTCAAAAGAATTTTAAAGATATTTCCTACATATCCCTTTGTAGAACTTTAATTCCTGTTGTCGTTCCATAACAATCATGAATGATTTGAACAAACTTGAATCTACACTACCTGAGGATGCTTCTTTATTAATATCACTATTCATGGCTTTGCTGTTCTTGAGAGGAAAATGTTCTGGTGGGTTTAAAATGAACACAATAGAAAAAAATTGAATTTTCACATTTTACATATTTAGGCATTTTGGGGGAATTTCTTTCTTTTATTAATCGATAAACGTTTACAAAATTATGTCTAGTTTAGATAGAGCTTCTTCATATTTCCAGTACTAATAATGTTGAAGTAAATGTGAATTCTTTGAATGTTGATAAAATGACCAATAAATCACAGAAGAAAACAATATTCGAACATCACATTCTTCGAAATAATTTCAAAAGATAATAAAAAAGAATGAATGACTGATATAAATGATTAATTAATACTTGTGTTGTTTGAACAGTATTATTAATGTGGTAGTTGTACTTTTTATTTTTAGGATATTTATTTTAATTATTGTGTAGATTATTCTCATTTATTATTTTATTCATTCACTCATTCATTCAGCGCTGTGCAATGCGATATACTAACACTCTATGTTGTCTTTGTTCAGTGTCTGTTATAAACCTAAACACCCCTATTTTAAATAATGTAGCATTCCAGGTAGACTACCAGGTATTGTAGAATGGGTTATTCCATTATTAATTGTTACACTGATTTCTATTGGTCAGTGTGGTTGAATGGTTTTGGCGGGAATTAGATTCATGATTTCATTATTACTTTTTGAGAACTGGTTTTGAAGGGTGTGAAGCTTTATACATATAGATATACAAATTCCATAGTGCTGGAAACTACCCTTACTCCTGTAAGTAAATTTAATAAATAATTAAACTATTAAATAAGGACCTAAATAATTTCTTTATGAATGAGGAATCTAAATAATTTATTTTAATCTAAACTTGCTAAATAAAGTGTGAGTGTTTGAAAGATATGTATATATATAAATTGATAAAATATGTATGTGCAAGAGTTATAATTGCAAGTAACATTTTAATTTATTCATGTATCCTAAATAAGGGATTTGTGAATTTGTTGTAATTTTAAATAATTGTTAAATAGGTCATTCATATATTCATATGGAGCTGAAGCAAGATAGATATAGGAATCACCTGGTTCCATAAACTGGTATGTGAAAGATGTGATGATATTGGATTAATATAAATCTTGTAATTAATGTAAATATTACTTATGAGATATTTCTACAAAGTAGGAATAGAAATATAATAGTTATAAAAGCAGAGCTATACGTTTATCAATTATCTGAGTGACGTGCGACCTAAGTATTTTAAATATTAAATGAGGTGTAAATGTAAATGGCCTACAATTAATTGTGTTAAAATGTGTTTATTTGTTTGTATTGTTTTGTGTATGTCTGTGTGTGCTTATTTGTTGTAATTATTGTAGAGTGTATAAATATATATACTGATCCTGAAATACATATACCAAATACAACATTGGATCCACACCCCAGACCGTCTTTATTGTTATTTATCAACCCAAGGAACGGTTACATTAAGACGCTCTTCTTATAAAAATACTGATGGGTGAATATATTGAGAAAGCAGCTTGAAAAGGAAAAGAAGATATTAAATTATATTCTTGTAAAATTCTCTTAGTAAGTATATAGTATGAATCTTTTTTTCTTTCGATAAAATCACAAGCAAGTGATGGAGACTTAAGGAGACGATTTGTATCTGTTTGCGCAGTGAACCATAGAAGGTACCAACTTTTAAATAAGATCCATATATCAGGTAGTTTAACCTTGTGTGTATGTTCTTAAGAATGCACAATTCATACTATGAAATAAAAAATGTTTAAGGATGCTAAAGATAAATTACCTAAATGCAAAATTATGTAAAATATTTACTAATTTTCTTCCTAATTGGCATTTCTTTACCAACTCTACATCTTATTTGATGCAGATTACAGAATTTTTTCAGTTTAAGTCTGTATTTTGTACATGGGAAAAAGAAAAATCTGAACGATTATCTTTTGAAGCGACGATAGATGTAACAAGTACAAGATTATTTTTTCTTCTTAATTTAGTGATGCCTGACCGGTATCAAAGCTTTTCTGGTTTATTGCTATGTTTAAAAGAAAATAAAGCAGTAAATTGTCATAAAATGGAAGAAAGCATTCCATGATATTTCAGTAAGGTGAAGACTTACATTTTTAGGAAAACCTGTCAAATTATGCTGCTCTGAACTGGTGCTATTCTTTTCAGAGGTATCGTCCTTCTCTTTACTTCTACATTCTTCTTTATATTGCGGGTTCCATTGTTTTAAGTGTTCCAGAATTTCCTTAAATGTCTTGCTTAGTTGAAACATCGAGGCCATTGTTAAGGACAAAGACAGTGGATTTCCTTGGCGTTCTCTGCTACTGACTTTTTCTAGCTGCACAAATTGAAGTAGAAAAACACTACTTGATAAATGCAGTCAACGAATCAGAAGGAAGAAATATATGTTCGGCAAGTAAGAGGGTTTAAATGGAGACTAAAATACGATATTATTGACACTTTTCCCGCCCATTATTTCCATATTCATGATAACGATATAAGTATCCCTTTCAATATCTCTCTAGTTTTATGTTTAAGTCACGGCTTTTACTTTTTTTATTGATTAAATATAACGGAAATAGCTTGCGAAAAAGGTTATACACTTTGTCTAATAGTTAATTATATCATAAATGAATCATTTTCCTTGGTATTTTTAAGTTTTTCAGCGTCTGGAAGTTCGCCACGAGAAGATTGTTCATAAGAAATTTTCACATTAATTTTCTTTTTTCGTTCAAGTTTGAATTACTTTGACACATTCGGTGTGATTTTGATGACTAATTCTTTTTCTTACAGTAATGTTTTACATTTTGATTTAGTGTAAAAAAGGTAATTTATTATTCTTGCCGATATATCTGTCACTTTCTTGCATGCTCGAGATAAAAAAAAATGCGGAACATTGAGGTAATTCTACTTATATATTTAAATTATTTCATATCACATAACTCAGACACACCTCAATTATTACAGTAAATATAAAACACACCGAAATCACCTTGACAATAAGTATAGTTTTTTGCTATGAGAAACCTTTGTTTACCTTATACCTTATATTACATTATACACTGTATTACCTCATTATTGCACACAGCGGCTCTTACCGTGCATGAACAATTGTCAAATCCGTTGAATAAATAGCGAAGTTTGCTGGTCTACTACATGTTTACAATTTACTTCAATCATGTGATTCAGGTTAATCTAAGATAGATATTAAAATAGCTAAGAGAAAAACAATTGAAAATGGTTTTCACTGATAAATAAAAAGATTAGAAACTAATAAAAATGCTTACATTAAAGTATTGTTTTCGTGTTAAACAGAATATTGACATACCCTTCACAAAACATTCATAAGACCTCATAATTTTCTTATTGTTGGTGCGATTGTAATTTGGTGTTATTTTGTTGATTAGAATCTTATAGAACCTTAACGCTAATAGTACTAGGTAGTCTGTGCCACTTTCAGAAAATTTTGTAAAGGAACATCAGCGAGTTAAATATAGGAGTATCTTTTATACATGTTAAAGTTAAATGGCCAACAGAGTTTTTTTTAATACATGGACATTACGAGTAAAAACGATTGGGCCTGAGATTTTATATTTATATTTATATTTACAGTCATAAATATCATAATATTATAAACAGTGAATACCGTAACATTAAACATCATTCAATTGTAATTTTTGTAAGAATATTTATGTAGTTTAGGAATTAATCCAGTATAAGTACGATAGTTCAAATTCAATTTGATTATTGGGAATATTGAAAATATTTAAACCTAGAATATAATTTTGAAGAATTAATTTCCTCCTTAGAAGTATAAGTTTGATGAATTACCACATGCAGAACTAAATCCAAGTGTAAAAAATATGGAACACAGTCAGTGAATATGTTGGTTTTCCTGTTCAATGGAAACATATTGTTATCGGATCCTATTTTATTCAAAACAAACAATAAGACTGAACAATAAACTTTCTTCTTTTATTGGATATAAAATATATAAATACAAAATGTTTTGTCGAATTGATATTATTGAAGAAAGTGAAAATTCTCTTGTACATGCTTTAAAAGACTCTTATTATATCATATGCAACTGTTATGAAAATCATGAAAAATACTAATGATGGAATTTACTTTCAAAAATTGTCTTTGATATTATAAATTATTAAATCTTTTAATTTTTATTTTAAATGATCATTCACTGCAGGATGGGTCAGGCATCCTGTAAAAAAAATCAACCTGGAGGTAATGTGGATGGACTCTTTAGATGTGGTTTTGCCTCCGGTTGAATATGATCGGTTTATGTATTTATAAAATCATCATTATAAAATCCAAATATAATATTTCAAAAACTACAGTTATTATCACTATTATTATTATGCGCCCGGATCGATAGATCGTGGGCGCATATTGTTTTTGTCCTGTCTGTCTGTTTGTCTGTCTGTTGTCAACTTTAACCTTCACCATAACTTTTGAACCATGAGAGAGAGAGAGACTTCATATTTGGTATGCATACTCCACTCATTAAGTTCTTTCAAATGACACCAAGGTCAATGACCTTATGACCTTGACTGTGACCTATATGCTAAAAATAGCTTTTTCGAACTTTGTTGCCGCCGGGTGCATAGTGTTTCACAAACACATCTTGTGTCCTAATTGTCTTTTTCCTATCTAAACTGCATGTGTGTTATTTTACCACTGACCAATATTTTTCTTTGTATTTAATATCATAATTTTTCAAATTTTAATATGATTTACTGTATGTGTTTTTAAAAAAGTAGGCTTCATATTTTAGCGGCTTTGGCTCAGACAACAATGCGCTATTTTATGAATACCGCTAATAAATCATTTATACATACAATACACGGCACGGATATGTGTAGCGCTAATTCATGATTACGCCAACAACTCCATACACAGTGATTGCGTTAAATTTTGAATACGCCAATTTAATGAATTTATGTACACGTACAGTATGTTCTCAGAAAATGAAAATTGTATAAAGATACATGTCCATAATATTTACATTATTCACAATTGAAATTTTAAAAATGTTTAATTTTTTCAAATATACATGTACTATGGTATATTCGACAATTTATGATGAAATAAATTACCAATCCAGGGAGCTCCTGGCAGGTATCTACGGAGGGCTTCTGCAGAAGTGTTGCCTCAGAAACATGTTGTATGTTATTGAAAATAGATATATTAAAAAAACAAATTAGTTAATGTTTGTTTTTAAATTCTGTTGAAAATTCATTATGGATTAGAATTAACCTTCCCGACATCATTTTACGTAAATTACATGATATTTTGGTTTTTTTCCAAACCTATTTGTCCCCAGGTTTCTTTTTTTGGGTATATTTTATACAGTGTAAAGGTGTAAGATTTTTTGACTCTTAATTCAGATAAATCTTCACTTTCGTAATCAATCAAGCTTTTAGCTCACCTGATCCGAAGTTTCAAGTGAGCTTTTCTGATCAAAATCTGTCCGTTGTCTGTCGTCGTAATCTTTTTACAATTTCATCTTCTTCTGCAGAATCACTGGGCCAATTTCAACCAGACTTATTACAGAGTGTTCTTGGGTAAAGGGAATTCAAGTTTGTTAAAATGAAGGGCCACATCCAGTCCCAAGGGGGAAATAATTAAGAAAAAGTAAAAATTGGTTGGGGTCATTTGAAAATCTTCTCAAGAACCAATGGGCCAGACATGATGAAACTCAAGTGAAAACTTCCTGACATAATTTAGATTCAAGTTTGTTCAAATCATGACTCCCGGGGGTAGGGTGGGGCCACATTGGGCGATCAAAGTTTAATGTAGGAACATTCTTTTAAAATCTTCTCAACAACAGCAAAGCTATGAATTGATTGGTCATATTTATATGGAAGCATTCTAAGGTAGTGTGGATTCAATTTTTTTTCAAATCATGTTCCCCGGAGGAAGGAGGGGCCATAAAATAAGATCAAACATAAAGAAAACATCTTGAAAAATCTTCTTAGCCATGATTTGTCAAAGAAATATGGAAGGATCCTCAGGTAGTGTATATTAAAGTGTGAGCATATCATGATCTTTCAAAATCTTTAAAAGCAATGATTAGTCAAAGAATTGTGGTAGTATCCTCACTGTGTATCGATTAAAGCGTGAAAAAATCATGCCCCCCTTCTTCCGGGGGGGGGGGGGGGAGCGTATTTGATACAACTTATATATTTAATCTTTTCAATACGGAACTGGTTTCTGCTTTTTCAAGGCCAGCCTGCTCGGGTGAGCGATATGGCCCACGGGCTTCTTGTTTTTACTTTCGATTTAAAAAAATGACTCTGATTTAATAATAATTTTCATTATAAGATAATAAGTTTTTATCTCTCTTAGACAGTACTCCTCCCTGCATAACCAATTTCAATTAACGGAAGAATAACTGTATCTCATATTTATCGTCTATCCCCTGACCCCTCGAGGCTAAATTTACTGTGTGAGAAGTGTGCTTTCTAATTTATGTATCTGCATGTATTAAATCAACAAAGGTATATTGTGCATGCACTGAAAATGTACATTCCAAAAGCAAGAGATCTAAAATGAAATTAGTATTCAAACGAAGTGCTTATAGTTCCAAAATTTGTCGTTTTTAAGTCGATAAATAAAAAAAAATTCGCCTATTTGGCATCTTATGGTTAGATATTACAAGTATTAGGCGCCAATGGAAATTTCTGAAAAAGTTAAACGTTGTCATAATGATTAACCCCCCCCCCCCCCCATTCAATACTGGAGCGTAAATTGTACCGATATAGCTCATCTTCAGATACCGTTTGAACTTTTTTGAACATCGTCTAAATCAATTCGTTTCTGTATAGGTAGATAAGCTGTAAAAAAGATTAACCATAGCAAATGAGCATCTGAAAAGGCTGTTATGATAGAGGGAATAACAAAAACGTCAGACTGTTTGGTTATACAGTGAGTCCGTTTTCCGTTTAAACATGTTATAATTGACTTAAATAATTAATTATCTTAAGGACCTCTAAATGTGTAGATGTAGCAAATGTTTGACACATGCTAAAAACATCTTTAAACAAGAAAAAAAAACTGTTGCCATAAAACAGACTTATAAACTTAGATGTTTAAAACTTGCAATATCCAAATGAATTACATCATATAAGCATGGAGTTTACTCAGGAGTAAATAATAAAAAATGTAATAAACTTAATACATATTCAAACCTTTAATTTTTGTTTTCTGTTTAGTGTTCAGAATTTCATAAGTATACACATTTTTCAAAATTTAAGTAGGTGATCC